TAAGAAAGAATGGTATATCTACTTTAAGAGGACGCGTTGATAGAAAACTGGTTTCAAATACTGCCAATATGAGAAACCTCAGCACATTCTATGCTTCCTTGAAATTCAGAGATAAGGAAACGTATGTATTGACATTTTGAGACTGCATCTTTACAGGATTAGCTAGTGAATGTGAAACGCTTTGCTTTTTAATAGTATTACACACTTTTTTTTTAATTTCCCATGTGTAGTTCGCTGTTTTTTGATTAACAATGCTATCACCAACTGCAAAGTTGTAGTTCGAGCTCTCTGAATAACGAGCAAGTAAATCGGTATTCCTTGATGATATATTTTTTATTTATCAAATGTCTGACCATTAATCATCAAGTCATTAGGCAACGAGCTCTCCAATATTTCTTTACAATACAGTCCAAACTGTTAAGTGTGCACAGGTCTATATGAGCACCGTTCATGACTTTTCCAGAATTCCACAAAGCATATAAAGGTGAGGAAGTCAGATTAAAACCAAACAAATGAGCACAAAGGCAGTCAGGTCCAGTCATCGGTTTAAACTCAGCCATAGCAGTAGCGCAAAGAGAGCCCGAGACACCGTCATCTTTCAGTAGCACTCTCCATGATTTATTTTCAGCAGCATTATGAAAGGAATTTTTATAAATCCTATTAATTTCAAGTTTAGCAAAGTGAAGAGAAAGGTCGGGGAAATTCTTACCTTTTTCTGCCAAAAAGTCCGCAATCTATAATTGTATACCTTTTGGAGAAATCCTTCTCTTTTTCTGCCAAAAGGTCAGCAATTTGCCAAAGGTAATTGTATTCTCTGATGATATATTTATGAAGAATTATGAAAAGTAATTTTACTTCAAAAACAAATGCCAAGCCACAGCCTAGAAGTTTACAAATATTTCTTTGCCAAACGTTACTAATATTTATACGAAAATGGTGTTGTTAATATTTTAGTTTAAAATCAAGTCCAGCTAGAATAGCTATCATTAAACCGAGCCCACTGAAGTCATTTATTTATATTACAAATTAAAACAGTTCACTAATGGTACTGGTGAGAGTATGACTCTGCTCAGTTCTGCTCCAATCCTGAAGGAGAGCACCCCGGTGGGGTGTACAGGTCCACCCCTCTTCGTCAGTCTCTCTAGCGTCAGTCTCTCTAGAGGACCTTTCAGCTCGCCGCGTATTACCGATGATGAACAAATATAATACATTCACAATACATCCATGCCACACACACACACACAGATACAATACATCCATGTCACACACACACAGATACAATACATCCATGCCACACACACACAGATACAATACATCCATGCCACACACACACAGATACAATACATCCATGCCACACACACACAGATACAATACATCAATGCCTTCTCCGGATTTGAACCCGGGCCCTTCGATACGGCATTCAGCGTCGCTAAGCACTCTTCCAGTTGGGTGGAACAGCTATTACATTTATTAAAATCTATTTGAATAGTTACTGTTCGATATATTTCAAGCAGTTCAATACGAAGGCTACCTGTTTCGTGTATCTATAAAAAGCAAAGTAAACTGAATAGGTATTTAAAGTTTTAGTTAATAAATGCATTTGCATATCTTATTTAGTTTGCAAATCATACTCAAGTATGAGTAACTATTTTTCTATCATAAAATAAATCAATTTTTAGCTACGTTTTACATTGATGCAGTATTAAATTGGAATGAAAAACTCAGATTTACAAAAAATATGATTTCAAATATTTGATAGCGCTTAAGGGGACCGTGGACTTTGAAAAAGATAAAAATCGACCAAAATATTGAATTTTTTTTTTACTCTCGTTGTATTACATATACTTAACTGCATCGTATGTAAAAAACCGAATTCAAATATTCTAATTTTTAATGAAGTTACAAGCATTTAAAATGTGTAACCAACATAAACTTTGCCCTTTAAATTTTGGCGAAAATGTAAACAAATATGTTTCAACAGTTTTGCTGATATTTATATACTTATATATTTAATTCTTTATAAACCTGGCAATATAACGTTTTAACTGTAACTGCCATTTCACTGTTTACAGTTTAAAAGTGTTTTCCTCGCTATTTTCTTTAGTTCTTTTACTAAAAGTGTTTTGCTGTGTTTTATACAACTACATTTTGCAGGACTGTTTATAACTGAGTTTCTTGGACTGGAAGAACTGCAGATTAATTTATAACCTCTTGCGTAAAAGTATATATATATATATATATATTTATTTATTTATTGTACATTATGCATGCCATAAGTCGTCGTTACCGTAAGCCTAAAGGGCGACCATCGAAGAAAAAACTTGCAGCTGTCAGCAAAATTGAAAAACGATGGGCAGCTCATTCGGAAAATGACGTGACATTGAACAGTGAAGAAGTTTCTTCCAAAAATAAACAAACAATTTTTTCTGAAAGTTCTATAGTTGAAGCGAGTACTTCAATAAGTGCCAGTGTAAAGAAACTGAATGAAAGTTTATTACGAACGTCTGACTGTGGTGATAACCGAAATGATGATTCATATATTTTGATAAATCGTAAAATGTGGAATCCATTGCTATGTAATATAAAGTGTGACGAGTGCTCAACCAACTCTTTAGATATTGTTTCGAAAGGAATATATGGATATTCTACAAAACTTGAATTAGTTTGTAAAAACTGTGATAAAATATTTAGTTCAACATTTTCAAGTGAGCGGGTAAAACGGTCAAATACTTTTGATGTGAATACGAAACTTGTCGAAGCATTTTTGAAAATAGGCAAAGGCCACGCCGCCTTAGAAGTGTTTTCCATGATTATGGGAATTCATGCTATGGACAAAAAGACATTTGCTAAATGTTTACACAGTTTGTCTGAAGAAAAGGGGAAACTAAAAGGTGATTTCCTTCAGTTTTCTCGAAATATTGTTCGAAACAAGCATAAAAAATTAATTAATATAAATAATGATGAGTGTATAGATATCACAGTGTCGTATGATGGCACATGGCAAAAACGTGGGCATACATCACTGTATGGAATAGGTATCGTCGTAGATGTCTTGACTGGGTTAGTTATCGACTACGAAATTCTGTCAAAATATTGTCCTGAATGTGTATGCGCGAAAAGAGATATGGGTGCTGACAGTGCGGAATTTCATATATGGTTTGAAAGCCACAAATTCAGAGTGTTCCAGAAATTTTTCTGAATCGTCTAATGCTATGGAAATGAAAGCCGCAGAAATTTTATGGAAACGGTCCATCAGTACATGCAATAACCGATATGTTGGTATAATTTCTGATGAGGATGCGAAAACATATCAACATTTATTAACTCTGAATCTTTATGGTAATGACGTAAAAAATTAGTAAAGAAGAATGTATCAATCATGTGGCAAAACGTTTAGGGGCAGGATTGCGCAATAAAGTTAAAGAGCTGCGTTCCAGAGGTATATGTATCGGTGGACGAAAAGAAGGTAATCTGAAGGAAACTACAATTCTTAAAGTTAACAAACTATTACAGAAAGGCCATAAAAGATAACATACCGGATATAGACAAAATGAAATCTGCAATTTATGCAAGCTTACTACACTGTTCATCTACTGATGTCTCACCAAAACATTCGAAATGTCCTACCGGTACGTTGTCATGGTGTTTTTATCAAGCAAATATCAACGTGCAGTAGCAAATGAAGAGCAGCCGAAAGCACATAAAGCCATGAAAACTAAAGTATCTGAAAGTGTTCTTTCTCAAATATTGCCAATTTATCAAAGGCTAGCTAGCACAGAATTGCTGTCCAGATGCATTTCTGGTAAAACACAAAATGCTAATGAAAGTATCCATAGTTTAATTTGGAACAATTGCCCTAAAGAAGTGTTTATTTCTAAAAAAAGGCTAGAAATGTCAGTATTATCAACAATTAATGAATTTAACTTTGGTTGTGTAAATGCCATAAGCGTAGAACAGGAAGAAGTGAACTCGTTTTCCCTACTCATTGCAAAAAAAGCGCGATCAGCGTCGCTTGAACCAAAGTAAAAAGAGAAGTTTACCTGCATGGAAAAACACAGAAATAGTAAAAAAATATTGTAAATCAGTAAACGATAATGCAATTGTAGCAAATGAAGGTAAAACATATGGTGCGGGTGATTTTTAAAAATTTCATTGGGTATACGTCATAAATTGTTTCTACCTGTATAACTTCGAATCACCTAGCAATTTGTCATATGTTTATTTTTGTCATATTTAATATTATGAGATTAAAAATAGTTAAATCTTACAAAAATGTTATCGAATGTTTACAAATTTATATTCAAAGTTAATTTTCTGTTTCTCATGACCATGTATTAAAGGTAAGTTTGAAGGAAAACTTTAAATTCATTTTTCTCAAAACAAATTTTTTCGCAATTTGTGTGTTTTGAAAATGCTCCATGCGTCTCATTTTTAGTTAAAAATGGATGATATTTGGAAGAAACTATATTGTTATATGTTACAGTAGATCTGTGTACGCATTTTTAGATATGAGGTTATTAAGAAGTTTAAACTTGTGAAAACCTTTAACAAAAGGTGAAATTTTTTCGAAAATTGGGTTTAAGTTCACAAAAATAGCCTTTAAAAATTTCTTATCCATCATATTCAATAACGGATACACACAAATACTTTTACCAAGCCTTTATAAGTAACATAAAGCAAACATTAGGAAAAAATATTAAAAATTAGAGCGCATGGAGCATTTTAAATTTTTAATTAAAATAATTAATTAATTGCTTTAAAAATTTTTAATTTAAAATAAATTGAAATTTTGAGCATATATTTTGTACACTGGTGCTATAAGATGTACATGTATAAAATTTCTTGTTGAAAAAATGAAAACTTAAAAAAATAATTTTTAAAGTCCACCGTCCCCTTAAATCAAGCATCCTTATTAACATCACGTTTCATCATAAATATAGTATTCATACTAATATACATATTTATATTATTTATCAAGAATACAGCGAAAGGTTTAGTACCTGGCCTCAATTCAATGCCCTTCCTGTGCCATCGTATGCCAGCTGCTGGCTTGCCGCCGGCTACAATGCATTTTAAAGCCAAAGTCTCGCCTTCTAATACTTCAACTATACTGCCATTAGGATGCTGTGATATTGAAATTGACGCAGGCGGCACTGCAAAATTAAAAATCAACATTAATATTTGCAATGATTAAGCTTAAAATAGTGAATCTACTGTTATATAAGCAAGAGTAAAAAATTTCTGTTTAAATAATTCTACATATTACACTCAACACAATCAAAATTAGCATGCAATCAACTGAAAATTATTTATTCGAACAAAATATATAAAAATTGCAGTCTAAATTTTAATAAATTACAAAAACCTTAATTTCAAAGAACTTTTAGAAATACTCTAGTAAGAATACATTAGCATTTTACTCAAAGGAATTAATACTGCAGCAATAATATATCACGCAATTTAAAATTTATTTAAGAATTTAAATTTTTTTTAGAAATATTGCAGAAATATCATAAAATAACATGCACATTGTAATAAGCTATTAAGTTATTTTACGTGAATGTTTTAAGTTATGCTAAATTAACATGAAATGCTCTAGCATATTGTAACCTATAAATATCAATTTTAGCTTATTGTTCTTTGTTTACACTGTAAGATATTTTTTATGATTATTATTTACGCGTTCCACCCTAAGGCACTACATTGAAGGGAGGGATGCCTTCGTGGAGGACAGTGTGAGGGAATTGGCTCGTATAAACGCGTTACACAAGGGAAAAATTACGTAAACGCCCATGCAGCCAGTTTGTTCGTGGGATTCAAACCTCGGACCGGGCTATCAGTATTCAGAGACCTTACCGCTCGACCGCTAGTGGGCCTAAGCTAGTGTTTAACCACAATTTCTGTTCTGAAAATAAACTTAAATAACGTAATGGAATAAAACGGGAATCAAAATACCTCCAATGTACAAAATTTATTCTCTTAATATGCAGCGTAAATGCAGACAGTTATTTTATATCAACTTTTCTGATTATGCTGTGATGTATTTTTGCATAAACTTTTATTTCTGAGAACAAAGCATGATGTTTCCTCGAGCGCCAAATGTAATAATTTAAACTATTATTTGTATTGCGTAATTATCATTTGCATAATATTAACGGCTTGCTTTAAGTTTTCTTGATTTTTCGATTATCTAGATGAGTAGTGAGTCCAGTTACACTGAATAATTAGAGTTTTACTATACTTAAATAAGCTGTATTACAATGCGAAACAGTTACAGTGAGCAATCAGTAAAAGAGAAAGGTTATTTTTATTATACTGAGAACTAGCTGCATGGTTTACTTACAGTTACAATGAGCATTCACTAAAAGAAAAGAGTTATTTTTATTTGTATTGGGAACTAGCTGCACGGTTTACTCAGTTCTTCAAAAGGTGGGTTATATTTGCAAGAGAAAATTTTATTTTTTTCTAAACCCTTCAAAACATTTATATTTATTTAATATTTAACAGGATGTCAAAACTATTTTTAAAAAATTCGTTAATTAATAATTTCGTTTCAAAATAAATGGTAATTTACTTACTTAGGACGGTAAGGTTTACATCAGCACGTATGGCTTTATTTTCTCCAGCTGGTCCAACCTATAAGTTTCAGAAGTTCAATTATTACATTTTTGAACGCATAAAATACATAAAATTAATGAATCACAAAAATATTATGGCAGTTTAATTTGTTTCAAAAATTTACCTTCCTAAACAGAAAGAAAATGAGTTCCAAATCACTTTACTATTATTATTATTATTACTACTGCAGTTATTGCCCAATATTCAAACTAAAAATCTTCTTAATTGATTACTTACCGAGGAAAAATATTCATATTATTACAGTAATATATTAACCGTGCAAATCTCCCAACAATTTAAAATATAATCAGACACATGGAGCATAACTTCGATTTTGATATTATATTATGTCCGATGAGTTTAGCCCAATGGCACAAAAACATTTATTTTAAGTAAACATATGCAGATATATATAGAGAGATTCCACTCACTACATATAGAAATTTATCAAAATTACGAATTGTAAATAATTAAACGCAGTTTTCTAAAACTTAAGCTTATTCTTTGCAAACGCAAATTAGTAGATCTTCATAATCAATAATCGGAATATTACTCTTAATTTGGGGAGAAAGGGTCAATACAGTGCATGCACTGACAAAGCGGTGTCCGCCAATAACATCGCGGCAAAAACATCGCGGACGAAAACGTCGCAGAGAAAACAACGCAAGGCGAAAACGTCGTGCTACAAAACATCGTGGGAGAAAACATCGCAGTTCTAAAAACATCGTGGTACAAAACATCGTCGTCGAAAATAAAGCGGTTCAAAAACTTCGCAGTTTAAAAATATCGTCGTCGAAAATATCGTGGTAAAAAATAAAGTATCTACAAATCATCGCGTGAGGATAACATCGCAGACATACTTTTTCTTCAGACTTTAATAACTGTAAATAGATATTCCCATAACAATTTGTGAGCGTAAAATAGAAAGTAGGATAATTTGTTTTCATATTTTATATTAACTAATTTTTGCTGAGGAAATAAGAAGGAAACTTAAGCATAGAAAATTAATGCAACTTATAGCACTTAATAGAATTTTAAACCGACATAGTTAACTAACAAAGACCATTAATAAATAATTTTATAAAGTTTTACTGGTAATTTTTCATAAAAAGTATAATCTATAAGTTGCTTTTAATTTTCTATGCTTATGTTTCCTTCTTACTTTTTCAGCAAAAATTTATTAGTTAATCAAAAAATGTGAAAGTAAAAATTATTATTCTTTACATCTTGCGCTCTCAAATTATTATGGGAATATCTATTTACAGTTATTAAAGCCTAAAAAAAGCATGTCTGCGATGTTATCGTCATGCGATGATTTGTAGATACTTTATTTTTTACCACGATATTTTCGACGACGATGTTTTCAAACTGCGAAGTTTTTGAACCGCTTTATTTTCGACGACGATATTTTGTACCACGATGTTTTAGAACTGCGATGTTTTCTCCCACGATGTTTTGTAGCACGACGTTTTCGCCTTGCGTTGTTTTCTCTGCGACGTTTTCGTCCGCGATGTTTTCGGCTGTAACCGACAAAGCAGATATGAAAATAATCCGCGTTATTGACGTATGAATAAATACTTTATCAATGTTCTATCTCAGTCATATGTAAAGCAAATCTGTACTGGTTAATAATATAATTAAATAAGATATTGGTGATTCTTCCATTTATGCGCTTTTCTGAAAAGGAAAAAATAAACGAAAAGTATTATTGAATAGATAAGAAAGGACTTAAAATATTTTTAAAATCAAAAATTAATCTTTTTTTAAACACTAAGGGATAGAAGAAAAAGGCCTCCTTACACGGATAATATATCAATAATAATTTATAAGATTGACTACTCTTATATATTCCTGTTAATATTTTATATTTTAACTTATTCCAACCTCTCGTTTTAAGGTTAGTTCGGAAATTTTAATATAAAGAAATATAAATGAACGGTTAAAGGACCAAAAATGATTAATAATGGACGACGAATTATTTTTTCATATTATTACTGCTATCCAGTTACAAAGACCAATTTAAATTTTTTACCATTCATTTTTAATCTCGGAAAATGTTCATTCAATTTAACAAAAGAAAAATAAAATTATTTAAATTATATTTTGACGCATATTAATACGCAAAATACCTCACTTTACAACATTCATACACATAAAGATTAGCATAATATGTTAAATAGTTCTGCAACAAATTGTCAGTTTCAAAATATCTTCCTGTTTCGTGGAAGAAAATTTACATTACTAAAGAAAGCTTCCGCACAGAATAAGATCCATTCAGAAGTTGAAAAATATAAAGTGATTTAGAAATACTTGCCTCCTTAAATAACATTTCACAAAGCGCAGTTTATTTTTGAAAAAGTAAAGCTATTATTCGAAATTCATTTCCGAATAGAATACTGAAAAAGATTTTTAAGTTTCCCGAAATGCATAATCAAACAAAGAAACTAAAAGTTTTAAAAAATGTACCCCTAAAGATCACAATCATAATAATGTTTCTCATTTGAAATTGAAACGATTCTCGAAGAACTGCAATAAATAATCATTGTCTAAGTTTCAAGATATTATTTTTTTCAAAGTTTTTATTTAATTATCTATTTATTTTACAGAATTATATTAAAGAAATAATTTTAACGGATCCAGATGAATTTTTGTATCTTTTCACAGTTTAAAATTCTTAAAACACCATACTCTTAAATTCCACAGCTAAACTTTTATTGTAACAAATATTAAAAATTAGAAATATTAACAGTCAAACTAAGCTTCGTTTTCAAATTTTGCGATAGAATATAAAGAATCGCCGCAGTTTTTATTTCACCTCTTTGTTTTCTTTCTTTTCTTTACGCTGAATCAAATTTTTCTCACTGGGTTAGTCACGGTTACAGAAGTAAGATTCTTAAACGACCAAACGATTCTGCTTTGTTTTGTTCCGTTTATCTTATTTATTCGTAGTTTTCCGCGCAGTCATTCGCGAAAACTTTAAGAAGGGAAAGATGCAGGCAGAAAAAAAAATGCTTCATTAGTTGCTTGGTTAATGAAAACAGAGCAGAACTTGTGTAATTAAATTAGCCGTACTTAAAATAACTGCACAATCTTAACGGGAAAAGAACTGGAAATAAGCTAATGTTTATTCTAGACTGGAATAAGCAGTTAGCAAGTAATTATTAACAAGTATGCACATGCATGTTATTAGTGGCGAAATATTCATAATTTAACAAGTGCAAGACTAGAGCCTTCTTAAAAGAACCATTGCGCACTATAAACTTGAGTTATAATTAAGGGTTAAATGCCGTAATAATCATCAAATAGATAGCATGATTTGTTTGATTTTAATTTGTCAATCATTTCATCTGTTGACAATAATTTAATTTGTTAGTACAATATTGTGAGAATTATTTTTCTTTTTTTTTTTAACCTTCGAAATATGAACCTTAAATGGAATATGTACTGCAACATATTGCCGTCAATATATTTACTGGCTTTGGTAAACTTAAACATTAATACTGAAATTATAAATAATAGAACTATTTATAAGGCGTCATATAAAATTTTATTTCTACAGTTTTTATCATAAGGATATTTCAAAATTGCGGTAGGTTTCGAATTACGATTTTTCAAACACGTTATTTATCAAAGTTGGGACAATTTCTCGGCGCCCTCTTACGCACATAAAAACTGTTGTTTACTCATCAGAGTCGCATTCCATAAATGAAAGTAGCAGCGTCTCAGAAGTAATCCATGAAATCACTGCACAAGGAATGTTTCTAATGAGTTCCGGTTTGTGCAATTGTATATGAAATATAGCTCACTTTCATTCGTTCAACATAATAAAAAAATATATATAAGTATTACTAGAAAACTTGTTGTGACTTATCTCACTTGTCTGACAATAACATCTTGTAGCACGTTTCGAGTGCGTAAATGTAGACTAACCTCTTTAATTGCTCAGAACAGCTTTCTCTCTGTTAGCAACAAAATACTCATTTATAAGACCCTTTTGGGTACCATACTCACCTACGCCTGTCCTGTTTAGGGTTACACTTGTAAAACAAGTATGCAAAAATTGCAAATTGTTCAAAAAGTTGTGTTTAAACAGGCGGTGATTTATCGTTGGTTCACCGGGAACTCGGCAATACACCGTAGGCTTAAAATTCCAGAATTACATGTTTACATGGCTATGCTAGCCGAAAAATTCTTTATGAGAATTCCTGACGTGCGAAACAGCATCATAACTGTATTAAACTGCGATTACCAAAGTCCTGACAATCAGTTTGGTTTAGGTTTGGTTTATTAGATTACGGCAAAGCACTCGAGGGCTATCTGCCTTCGTGGAGGACTTTTTAAGGGAAACTGGCTCGTATACACGTTACACATGAGGAAAACCACGAAAACACCCATGCAGCCAGCCCCGTTCGCGGGATTCGAACCTCGGACCGAACTACCAGTGTTCAGCGACGTTACCGCTCGGCCGCTGGTGGGCACCTGACAATCAGAGAAGGCCGCTTGCAATTCTTCAACAGTTAAATCAGTAATTTATGTGACCTCTCATTGAAATTTGTTATGTAAATATTTCTGTTCATATCCTTGTTGTCTTTTTTGCTTTGTACTTATGTTTATTATGCATCTCGTATTTTCGTAATCATGTCAATTCACACACGGTCCACCAGAAACTGTTTTTGCAAATATCGGCATTTCTTTTCATAATCTTCAATATAATTGCTATTAAATTGCGCACTGCTCTTTGACTACCAGTTCAGGTATTAGTCTCATTCCGACTTTCTATGTGCTTTCGAGGTTCTTCTACTATGCTACCCATTTTGATAAATCATGCTCATGCGTTCTCTCGACAATATGAACTATTACAACTCTTAGCGTTCCAAAATCGACACTTTATTATACCGGTTAGCGGCGCGGTTGCACGGGGGCACCCATTACAGCAAACCTTTCATATCTGCTTAAGTCGACAATAGCCTAAGCCTGACCGTGGCCAGGAGGACAAGATTGCGCCTGTCGTTGGCAAT